TTGCCTTTTCCTGGAATTAAATATGAGTTTTCTTTTTGTTTTCATCCTCTCCAAAACCTTGTGGTTGCTCACCTGTTCGGTCCATAGCATCCTTAGCATCTTTCTGTAGAACAACACCGCTATTGCGTCAAGTCTCTTCATCTTTGAGGAGACCGTTCAACATTTGCTGCCGTAAAGGAGGACAGATATTATGAAGCAGTTCAGTACTCTTCTTTTTTTTTTGTTACCAACGAAATCCTCCTGTCTCGTAATACTCTGCCTAGCTTTTGGAATGCGTCTTTGGCCATCCCAATACGACTTTGGATCTCAGCGTCGCACTTACCGTCCTCTGACAGTAGACTTCACAGATATTTAAATTTCCGCAACTGCTTGATTTTAGTGTTCCCGATGTGTAAATCGCATTTTGGGTTATCTTTTTTGCTGATGACCATGCATTGTCTCTTCTTATAGTTTAGTTTTGTTTAGTCCCTTCTTCACAATCTCCATCACTACCTTCTGTAGAAGTTCTTGTAATTTCCTTTCCGTGCCTGCTATCGGCACTGTGTCATCTGCGTATCTTATGTTGTTGATATTGCGATCGCCAATGATGAATCCTAGTAGGATTTCCACTTCTTTCAGAAATGCCTCGTTGTATAGGTTGAATAAGTCCGGTAAGAAGACACATCCTTGCCTTATTCTCCTTTCCATTTTTTTTATATCTGCTGAACCCATTTTTAATTTTTAGGCAGGCGGTTTGCTGCCAGTAGACGTTTTTGATTATTTTAATGTCATTCCCGAAATAAAAGTTCAAGATTATTTTACGGTTTATCAACCTTTTGTGTGTTATTTAAAGCCGAGTTGTGTTTTCAATTCTAAGAATAATTTTTTCTTTGTTTTGTGAGGCGAGTGAATATTGCATTAACAATTCTTTTTTTAGAATAACAGTGATTATTTCAAACACTAGTCCTACTGTTTACGCAAGTTGGTAGATTCATACCCCCTTCCTAAGGGTATTTGCGCGTCGCGTAATGAAACATAACAACCTCGACTGGAATTCAAACTCGGCCTTCCGAGTTCTCATTCCGATACCGATAGGTATAGCGATACTGCCTTCTACACAGTACGTAATTTACATATCACTACACCTCCCCGAACCTAAAAGACTTTATACCGCTAGTTGATCTTTGACATCTATGAACAACCCAGGGAGACATAATACGTCTCTCAGAGTAATTCTTGATTACTTTTAACTGATTCACCTCATTTGAATCATCATGATACCTCCGGTCACTCTCATCCCCAAATTGTTCCTCATTACTACTGGATACACTCATTCTCTCCTCCCTCTCCTGTTCTTCACTTTCATATCTATGGTGGTTTTCCTGATTAATCCCAATACTGGATTCAGTCATCATTTCTTGTATCGTCTGTTCTGCTTCATCTTTCTCATCCTCCTTCTTTTCCATAACTTCATACTCTCTTGTGGCTCTAAATTGATCTTCTAAATTGGCCAGTATGCTCTGTCCATTCTTTGGTAACACAGTTGTCTTAAATCCCTTTTGCACGACAAAATTCTTCGTTTCAGGACTTGAACCCTTGTCCTATCTATACCACACGCTTTCATTCGTCGTAAATAACATGGTAATCAGAGCTCTTTTTCTATTGTTAATTTATTTTGATTCTTTATACGCCCTCTCATTCATAGATCAGTTACTCCATGTATTTCTCTTTATTCTATCCATAATTCTATTTAACACTGGATTCTTCCTAGTTCCAAACCTAAGCCGATTTAAATGTAATGCGTCCGTTTCTATCCAGTGTAAAATCCTATCCTCGCTTGCTTCAACATTTTGTTCAGCTTACCAACCACCAAGAGTAGCATGTGAACAGGAACTTTTTGCGCTTGAAAATACATGGGTTGACTGTTTTCTTTAAGCCATATCCCCTTAATAATTCAATACCGGGTTCTACAGACTTCATGGAATTTACCAGCTTTGACGTATCCACTCTTAACACGTCAATTCTTAAAAGACCATGGCTTTTTGATGTTTTCACCGATATGATGTGTATTATCTTGAATCTGTTTTTTTGTCTCAAACGTGTCTTCAAAGCCTCCTAAAATTTTGATGATTGGCCCATAATGTTTCAACTGGAGATTAATTTTTCTTAACTTTGGTCTACCCATTCTTTCGCCAAAATTCCTCGCTATCAACGTAACATCACTTCCGGTATCCACCTGCATGAGTAAAGTTACTCTGTTCAACTTCACTGTTTCCCTACTTTTATCCTGTACTTTTATCTCAAATACTTCCGTACTTCCAATCGGAGGATCTATATTTTCTACTGGCTTTTCATATTTGCATACTATCTCGAAATGAACTCTCTTTTTACACTTAAAACACCATTTACCAAATACCAGACATTTATTTTGCCCTTTTCATGTTCCTCATTGCAATATTTGCATACAAGTAAGCTGACTTTGCAGGTATTACATTTTGAATCAATTCCAATTGTTGTAAGAACTTCACACATGCTTCCAGATTCATGTTATGAGCTTGAAGCCGTTCTAGAATTTTACGCTTGTACGAGATGTCAAATATTCCTTCACTCTGTCTTAACAAAATTAGTTAATCTTCGATAGACATTTGTTCCGAACCCATTCTTTTGAATTCACAATATTTCAACACTTCTTTCAATCGCTGTACATATTGTATAATAGTTTCATCCGGTCTCTGTCTGCTTTCTGCAAAAAACCAATCTTTTTCTCTTGGTCATACATTTGCTTCTATGATGGCAGCAATTTCTTCATGCGCTAAATCTTCCAACACTTTAGGATAGATAATGACAAAGATTTTTTATAGCCTCACACCCAGCAAAAGAACATTTTCTCCTCCACTAATTTTGGTGTCCTTTAACTGTTTTTACTCTCACCGACGCTGAAACACCTAAGCGATGTCTCCATATATTCAGGATCCTCTATCGTGGTTAAGTAACCGATTGGCGACGCCATATTGTTATGATAAGTAATTCCCTCTGACAGATGTAGTCGCGCCTAGAGAATGTAACTCCCCGTAGGTATAGAGATACTGCCTTTTATAATTTACATATCACTACAGTATTGATGTGTATTTTATTTGTCATTAATGTTTCTTGAGCTGTAAACACAGACGAAGACAGAACAAAGTTATTTCTTATTTGTAAAGTTTACTTCCAGTTCATTGATTTACAAAGTGTTTTATTACGCTCACAGTACTGATCCTTTGATAGAGGCTTTTCTTTTAACTTTTTTTTAACTAATAAACGGACTAAAGCATATAGGTAACTACTTAGTATAGAGCACCGGTCTTGATCATCCATAATTACACATATGTCTGATGAGGTCACTGGGAGATGTCGCGGGAGACGTATAATTATGTGCTCAATCGACCGGCCCAGATACCCACCTTTTATTTCTAACTTCCACTCCAATGGACATTTTGATCCCACCTGATGTTGATCTAATCTGACCCATCGACTCAAAAATCTTGTTGGGCGACGACGAAAGAACAAAAACAAATGCCACTGAGTAGATACACGCACACACTTAAACATTACTTCTTAAACTCACGCACATTCAACACATAGAGACCAGCTCACACATACGGTAGTAACATACACATGCACACACACACGTACACATACACATGCACAGACATATATACATACACATGCACACACACATATACATACACATGCACACGCATATATACACATGTGTAAAAAGTACTCATATCCTAAGCCAACATATATACCTATAAAAATGTTAAAAAATTAAAAGCAAATAGTTAACCTGCTGTTAAAAAATTATATCAAATGCATAAATTTAATCCCATACTAAAATATTTTAAATATTAATTGCATTAAAAAAATTCAATATCATTTATTCACTTTCGTTTATTAGACATTAAATGATATCACTTAGCATCTTCCATAATTTATCTTGACTTTTCAGTTAACCTGATGAATATTAATAAGCGTCTCCTAAATTTAAAAAAATTCAGAAAACTAATACATTTCTTGCAAACTAAAATCCTGACATTTGCCTAAAGTCCCTCTGAGGACGAAACGCGTCAGCGAAGATAATTTTTCCTTTCATCTCTATTCATTGTCCATTTATAGATATATTCTATCTGACATTTTTACACACACACACACACACACACACACACACACACACACACATATATATATATATATATATATATATATATATATATATAATGATAATATTAGTGATCAGTATGAATATCTCCAAGAGGATATAAATCCAGGAAGAGCTCTATGTCAGAGACAGAGCAATAATTATTATTATAAAAGGCACGAACACTTAAACATTCATGAGGTTAAATTTATTTTGTTATGGGTCTTAAAAAAGACCCCAACTCATCAGACCTTCAAAACAAAAGGAAAAAGAAAATGTTTCTCCAGGTTTAAAAATATTATGCAAACCTGGTGAAACATTTTCTGTTTCCTTTTGGATGTGAAGGTCTGATGAATTGGGGCCTTTTTTAAGACCCTAACGAAATAAATATAAGCTCATTAAGTTTTCGTGCCTTTTATAATATATATATATATATATATATATGTGTGTGTGTGTGTGTGTGTGTGTGTGTGTGTGTGTGTGTGTGTGTGTGTGTGTGAATAAAGACAAAAGGAAAAAATGATCTTTATCATTGCGTTTCGTCCTCTGATGGACTTTATACAAAAAAGGATAAAAAGAATATTATTTTGCAACAAGTATTTATGAACAAATTGATCTCGATACGCCGTTTTCATTTTCCGTACTTTTAACATTTATACTATCCACATAACAGAAAACTCTGACATCGCTGTGGAGCAATGGTTAGAAAGATAGTAAGATAAAACTATTACTACGATTGGAGTTTCACTGTTTATTCAGTAATGCTGACCGTTTGCTCGTCTGTGCCAAGCTTTGTAATAATAACTATAAGCATTCTATTTTATAATATGCAACGTGGTGTATGCAGGCGAAGTTCTCGTTTTCTCTCTCTTTCGCTACCTTACCGCTTTCTCTCTCTCTCTCTCTCTCTCTCTCTCTCTCTTTCTCTTTCGCCCTATTCTCTCTTTTGATACCTTCTCGCTTTTTTTCTTTTTCTTTCGCTACACTCACATCCTTTCTCTTTCTCTACCTTCTCGCATTCTTTCTCTCTATTTCGCCACTTTCTCTCTTCCTCTCTCTCTCGCGGGCTTTTGCTACCGTCTCGCTTTCTCTTTCTGTCTCTCTCTTTCGCTACATTTCCCGCTTCCTATTCTTACCCCTTTCACTATCTTCTCGCTTTCTCTCTTTCGCTAACTTCTCTCTCTTTCGTTACCTCTCTCTCTCTCTCCCTCTCTCTCTCTCTCTCTCTAACGTTCTTGCACACGGACACATTCAGCCGTGCATACACATAATTCGACAATTCCCCAAATGCTACCAATTTCCAACGTAATATCATGTCTTTTCTCTATTTGTCTTCTCGCTTCTCGAACTTTTTGACTGGGTTAGTTGATTGGCTTAATTGTTTAATTCTTTATGGGTCATTTAATGCCGAAATTTAATTTTCTTGGGAACATTAATAGTTTCTTTAACAAAAAATATACTGCTGATATTTAACTATAAAAATATATATTTTATACTTTCATAGTGTTTTGAACCCAGTGAGGAGGTCAACAATTTGCCTATAGCTAGGACCCTAACAAGTGGTACCACCCCAGGCCAGGATGGACCTAGGAACAACAGCAATTAAGAAGTGGTTCCACGCTCCCCAAAACCTACCAATAAGTGGTCTTTCTGTCGGATATAGTTTATTCTTATACCCAGGCGATATTTGACTGGGATCAATGAAGAAGGTAATATTAGCCGTTTCCTTATAAGGAAACATTTGGCATTCATTGACCAAGCATTCAGTGCAGCTTTCGGTTGAAATTGATATAATATTTCTCTTAATACAATTTCTTCGAAAAACAGGTTTTTCTAGTCCAGTACCTGTTATCGATCTTTCAAGCATTAATGGGGCTTTCCTTCCTAGACATTTTATTTGAAATGGTGTGGTACATAAAAACATATAAATTTCTCAAGTCCTGCATGTCCAATCTGAGTATAACTCACACTTGGTAAAATTCTTTAACCTTAATATTTATTTAGTGGGCCAAATTCCAGACAAAGATAAACTATTTACATTATTTGCACTATTGTCCTCATCTTTGTTGTCATATTTATCACAACGTTTCGGTCGTTGCACGCTCCGGCACTCTTCAGGTGGTTGGAATGTCGAACTGAGCTTTTTCTTTCGATCGCTGGGGTAGACTGTTCTAGTTTCACGTGCCATGTCTAATGGATGTCAGTTATCAGATTTCTCCTGTTAATTCACCCCTCCAAGTTCTCCACTGTCTTAACCAGATATTGAACTCACAAGGACACATGGCCCAGTGGATAAAGGCGTTGGTTAGATCTAGTGACAGGACCCAAAGAGTTGTGAGTTCAGAACTTGGAGAGGGAAATTAACAGGAGATAACTAATAACTAGCATCCATTAGACATGGCACGTTGAAGTAGAACAGTCTACCCCAGCGAGCGAAATAAAGGGTTCAGTTCGACATTCCAACCACCTGAAGAAGGCCGGAGTGTACATCGGCAGAAACGTTGTGATAAATATGACAACAAAGATGAGAACAATAGTCCGAATAATGTAAATAGTGTACATAATACCTCATCTCAGAAATATAGACAGATACTGAAAGATAAACTTGGTAAATCTTTACACATCGACCCGGTGGTTCTACTGAAGGATACTGAAAAATCCATGAACGGGGCGAGTAAGCAATAAGGAAGTCTTAAAGAAAATGGTAACAGAACGAACACTTAAACTCAGAATCAGGAAACGGAAGTACGATACAAGAAGCTTAGAACTTCCGGTTACATCTAGCCAGCTCAACTGTAAATTAATGAGACCTCGTCGCCAGTCTAGTACTGAACTTCTTGAAGTCTAGGTACCATGGTGACGAGCTCGTCCGAAAATTCTTATAGAAAAGACACGGCTGGGGAGTTTACGGCGGTGAGAATGTGACTGAATCTGAGACGCCAGGCCAGGCTTAAGTGAAAACATGCACCATTACCAACCCAATCTGAGCAAAATTCACAGGTGATAACATTTTCTCAGAGGGCAAAATTCTAAACAAAGATAAATTTGCTAAATCTTTACACATCGACCTGATGACGATGCCTGACAATATGCATTTGTTTGGTCATTGCTTATCCAAGCAATTTGTATGATCGTCTTTTCAAACTTTGTATCAAACTAGTTGGAGGCAGCAGAAATGTGGTTCTACAGAAGGATACTGAGAATTCCATGGACGGAGCAAGTAATCAGCAAGGATGTTTTAAAGAAAATGGATGGATCTGCCTGTTGTCCAGATCCACAGTCCTTCCTATACTTCTAAAATCTCCGCCTGAACTTTCATTCACTAATTATGTATATCTTATTTTTTCCTCATCCCCAAAAGAAGAAGATAGGCTCACCTATCGTCCGGTTCATACTCCTCCTCAGTTTCTTGAACAAGAATAGAAGTTTATCCCTTGTTTCCTTTTTAGGATTGGGTTTCCGGTCTTTTAAATTCTGTACTTCTGACGTCTCCGCCTGAACTCTGAAATTTTAATCTATAATTATTTTTCCTCTCCCAATAGTGGATAAGTTCGCCTATCGTTTAGTTTCCACTCCTTCCCGGTCTTTTGAACAGAAGTAGAGGTTTATCTTTTGTTCCCTGTTTAGGATTGGTTTCCCGATTCCTTCTAAAGTCTAATTCAACTCTATACTTCTAACGTCTCCACCTAAACTCTGAAATTTTATTCACTAATTAAATCTTGATCTCTGCAAGTCTAGAATTACCTGTGTACCTTTATTGCATAGCTCTAAAGAACTTCATTTCTTACCCTTTTTACGCTAATACAACTCCACATAGTAACATGCTATCTTGAGTGGCTGTCAGGGCTTGTATTGGGTGAACAAAAAACCCAAGAAAGAACACTTATATTCATAATCAGAAAACAGCGGCTGAAATTCCTTGAACACATAATGAGGAAGGAGGGCTCGGAAAAATTAACCCTCATGAGGCATACTGAGGGCAAGAGTGATGAGGGAAGATAGGAATCTCGTGTCAAAAATGTGATGAATAGTAATGGTAAAGGTAATATTAACCGTTTCCCTATATGGACACACTTGGTATTCATTGACTAAGACGCCAGCACTGATTTCAGTTGAAATTTATATAATCTTTCCCTTAAAACAATTTCTTAGGAAAACAAATTTCTCAATTCCAGTAGTTGTTATTGAGCTTTCGAGTACTGACTGGGGTTTCCTTCCTAACCTTTTGTTTGAAGTAGTGTGGAATGTCACTGTCCTAATTATATCATTATTTTCTTTTCGAGTTTCATGTGCTATCCATTTTAATTGTTGCCGCTGTTGGTAGTCCTCAATTTGATGTGGCTTCTGTTATTTGATACGGTGGTTTGATTGTAATTCTGTAGCACCATGTCACAATGTTCAAAGATGGATGACTTTTGACAAGACCCTTAAGCTTTACTTGCTCAAAGCCTTTTTTCACCACTGATCTTAGAAAGCGGTTGTATACAACTGACAGTTTAGATATTTCTGACCGGATTTGGCGCCAAGCATGATATCCATATGAAAGTCTCGATTTGATTTGGCTATTTACGAACATGATTCAAGTTTTCAGGTTCATTTTTTTGGTTTCGTAGCAATTGCTGGTATTGGGTGAATCTACCTCTGGAACAATCTATTCTATGTTAAATTTCTTTTTCTTCTGTACTGGATTTGTTATAACTGATCCATTTGCCGAGGTATCTTTTTCTCACAGACGCGCCGTCGCCTCCCTCTGTCTGTTCTACAAATACTTTCATTGTTCCGAGGAGCTGCATTCGCTGGTTCCCAGACGTCATGAGTTCCAGCGCCTTACGAGGCTGGCATCCCGCTCTCACCCCTTCACTGTCGAAACTCCTAAATGTAGCCGTCTCTTATACTCTAATAGCTTCATGTCTCGCACCTCTCGCCTGTGGAACTCCCTTCCCTTTTCCTGTTTCCCTGTGAGCTATAATCTCCAGCTATTCAAGTGTAATGTCAATCGACATCTCCAGTTGCCTTGATCTATCCACTACCCTCATCCTTTCTTCTATCACTCCTATCTGATCTTGCTCTAAATTTTCTGTAACCCCTTGCGTTCTAGTGGCTTCCCGCCTTGCTTGGGGTGAAATGCTTAAAAAAAAAAATCTGAAGTCTTTAGTGTTTACTAATTCCATATCCCGAATTTTTACGATGGCTTCAGTGCAGGTACCGACATTGCTTTGGTTCCGATTCCAGGTCAGTGTTTCTGTTTTGGAAAGGTTTCAGTCCCATTTCTTGGAACGATTGGTAGAGAATATTGATGTTCTATGCAGAGTATCTTTTCTCCTCATCTTTCAAGGAAGTAGGCACCTGACCTCAGAGATTCCAACCTCGGCGGCAGCACGTGACTCACCTCGCTAGTTCAGTAGTGGTCGAGGGGACTGGCCTAATTTTTGAATTCGCCGAAGACAAACCCACATCAAATAGACCTGTCACATCTTGCCACCTCGGAGAGTGCGAGTAAATAGCCTCTTCATTTGTCTTTCATATTTTATATATGTTTTTTTTCCTTTCTCCTTCGTGAACACAACGTCACACACATACGCACGCATAAACACTGAAAATATAATCGCAAAACACATCGTAAACACGTTCAAACACGTTAGCATACAAGCTGTTTATTTGCCTATTCACCTATTTATAAATCTTCCTGTATCATTCTTAAACCTCCATTTGTACCACAGATTATTGCATCAAGATTACAAACATCTCATTTAAAATATTATAGATATATTTTAATTTCTTAAAATAGTTCTTAATTTTATCGTTACGTATTGTTTTGAATGCTATTTCTGGTATTTATAGGATACATTTACGTCAATCATACTGGTACCATGTAAACTGGAACTTCTTTCCAAGTGGACGGGTCATCGACGTCTATACTGTTCCCCCATCAGATTTTTCTGGTGAGCAGGTAGCTAGACACCCAGCAGGATTAAATGCAAGGCCGGATGAACCTTCCTGTAGGGTTAACCGCCATCTTGTAAAATGGAGGTGACTTGGCTGGTTACCAATGTATGCAGTCAAAGCAGTGATGAAACTGAGGGGAGAGCTTCCTAGACTGAATTCAACTACCAGGGAGAAAGCACCCACCGTTGAAATCAACAGCAATGTGTCTGTGGTCAGGCGAATCTTCAAGTTGGAGGACATCGGCTGTCGTTTGACATGGAAAGGAATGGTCTCCGCCAGGCCTACTTGCGCAAGACACGCTACGTATGAAAGAATACCTCTCCTGATTTGAACTCCGATATGGGAAGGGAACTGCTCAGGTGC